CCCCTGATGGAGGCACCACATACATACATGTACCGGCTCCATAGAATGTAACAAGGATGGTCAGATGAGATGAGCAGGTGGAGAAGGCTTTCCATCTTCCATTCATGGTTTGAATTTTGGTGATAATCAGAATGATTTTCACATAGGATGATAGACTGAGCATAAACGGGAAGAGCCCAAGCACAACAATCTCAGAGGAAATTATGATTCGGAACCTATTGTGGGAACGAGCGATTCTGTCAAAGGCTTTTATGTCACAGAAGAAGTGCTGGATTTTGTTAGAATTGCATACATTCATCTGGTAAATGGACAATGTGAAAAATAAGGAATTGACAGATGCCAACATCCAAGTACTTAGTATTAGAAGAACATATTTGGTCTTATTCATAATCAGTTGGTAGTGTAAAGGCTTACAGACAGCCACGTACCGATCGTATGCCATACAGGACAACAAAATGTCCTCTGTAGCGGCTGCAAACAAATAGAAGAACAATTGTGTGAAGCATCCAATGAATGATATTAGATTATTCCCAGACAACAAAATATCCATCAGTTTGGGGAGAGTGGAGGATGTGAGAAGGACATCTACTGAAGACAGATTGCTAAGGAAGATGTACAATGGAACATGTAAGTGGACATCAGTGACCACACAGGTAATTAGGAGGATGTTCCCCAATAGCCCAACCAGATAGACCAAGGCAAAGACAGAGAAAAATACATGATGAAGTTTAGGTGAATCTGAAAATGCAACAATCTGAAAGTCCTTGATGAGTGTTTGGTTATCCATCTGACCAGGTGAGGTGAAGCTGACGTTCTTCTAAACTGTTCCACATCAGTCAGTCCCAGAGCTAGTATAAATTATCAGTTCCTTACTGAAGGGATGAGCTGGCAGTCTTCATCAGCTCACCAATGATCTCTTTAATACTGCCGAGTATGAATTTATCTTCATCTTTTTTTACCAATGAGTTTCACTTAGGAAATAATCTTGAGGCACCTCAACCCATTAACATGAAACGACAGCTCATGGTTATTTCTTCATAACTACATCGTAAAAATAATTTTAGATTTTGAATTAACTCAGTAATGTCACATTTCCAACATTTCTAATTACATTCAAGAAATAATCCCACCAATAAAGACTAAGCTACATCAAATGTAGAACAATTTAGTGTCGGGTTGTTAGGTGCACGCTTATGAGTTCTACAGTAATACACATCAATGAATGGATACAGGTTGGTCATTGTTTTAAATTGTGTTCTTCACGTTGATGTGGGCTGCTCATTTTGCATTTGCATTCATCTCCCTTGCCTAATGATAAAAATGTATCACTCGGCTGTAGATCCTCCAATCATCTCTGAATTGGTGCTGACACTGTCCTTCCTTCTGGAGGGGGGGCTACTTTTCTTCCCCATGGTCCCTGTGTGTGATGTGAAGTAGTCACCGCTCCAAGCTCGCTCCTATGATAGACTATAATTTCAATACAAATGAGTAAACTAAACATGAGATTGTAGTCCATCCCAGGAGCGAGCTTGAAGCGGTGACTACTTTACAACACACACAGGGACCATGTGGAACAAAAGTAGCACCCCTCCAGAAGGAAGGACAGTGTCAGCACCAATTCAGAGATGATTTGAGGATCCACAGCCGAGTGATACACAAATAAGATACATTGTTGTTAATAGTTAAGGTACCTGAATGTATTTTTAAGATTTAACTCCTGAGTTTAGTGTCAATTTAAAGGATAACAGTACCTTTGGTACAAGGCAACCTTTAAGGTGTTCCTCCACCACCATGAGTGCAGCCCACCTGATTCAATACTTACCTTTATCCTCGTTCCAGGGATCCTCACTGTACTTCCCGGCTTGGAGCCACACAGCGTTTCTTCTAAAAGGCATCCCTGCTGGGTCCTCTTAATCCTGAGCATGCGTGCCATGGCCCTATTCACTCCTCTGGGAAGCTGTACTCGTGGTGGTCTCCAACTGTCCTGCAGGGGACATGTAACATACTAACTGAATGACATTTTTAAGCTGAATATAGACCAGTAGAATTACCCAAATCGTCTTTTCGAAATATTTGTTTGATTTTCTACATGCACTCCACTGGTGGATGCATTGATTTTTTGAGGGCAGGTTTCTTTGGAGGGACAATGGTGACTCTGCCTGTGTGATATATGTTGAAAAGGCCATGGGACCAATGGAGGCCTGAGGTGGACCCCCAAAGGCAAAGAGGGCTGACATTTTACTCTCAGTGGTGGATCCTTAGCCAGGTTGTGGAATGTGAACAGTAAATTGGGCACCAATCAACTTTAGAACCTTTCAGATGCTATATTGAGGGACAACAGTGGCTCTGCCTCTGAGATGTGTGTTGAAATGTCCATGGGTAGTCTTCGTTGGAAGCCCATGTGACAGGGTGACAATAATAGAGTACAATTGGAAGAGAGGAACAGAGAGTTATCACCAACAGGAATTATTATTATTATACAGGATTTGTATACCGCCAGTTACTTTACATTTGCAGTACAATAGGGTTGGGAGGGCCCTGCTCCTAAGAGCTTACAATCTAGTATGAGGGACAAGTGATACAAAAGGTAATAATTGTTTAGATTGGGTTAGTGGAAGAAGTAAAAGGACCATTATGTTGAGGTGGGATAGGCTTCCCTGAAGAGATGAGTTTTTAAGGATAGCCTAAAGGTGGACAGAGTAATAGAGAAAGAGAATAATGGCCACACCATGAAGAACCAGGATGATGGTATGCATTGGACAAGATGGGTGGCACTTAGGGGAGGTGGAAGCATGCCTTAAAGGACTTTTTTTTAAGGTACAGGTCTCCTTTAAGGCTAATTGTCCCCCAAATTGCTGTTAGTTGGCCTACTGCCTCACCCAGAATGAGATGCTGCCTGAGGCTACTGCCTCATTATGGGAACACCCTTGTATATGAAGATCGGGAATTTATCTCACCTGCAGAGAAGCTGAATAGGTTTAGCCTCTGTACGCTAAAGCTAATATGTGCCCAATGTATGAGAAAACAGTGTCTTCCATTGACGTCTTCTCAAATCTTCTTTGAAAACACTCCTTTTATCTTCCTCAAATCTGCTCAAATCTGTATTTCTATATTGGATTTCCATCAGACTCTCCCACTCCTAATAACCAGATCCATCTAGAACATTCTAAACTTACTTATTGAAGATGCCAATAGAATTCCTGGTGTTAAAACTCTCACAGAGCCTGCCATCTGGACTACAACTCAATTTCTGAACAATGTAACATTATCAATGCTTTGCTGGAAGCAATGCATGATGGGAGATGTAATCTTGAGAAATGGAGATTGCATCACATCAAGCAGCAGGGAAAGAGACACAAAGCACACTGGGAATCCAGGAAGTTGATGGAAGTGATGGGCAGACAGAAGGCGACGCTCACTACATAAAGGGATTTTTTTCAGGTAAGCTTTGATTGTATTATCAGAGACAACTCCACTATGTATTCCTATTACAATGCTGATGTCATAACAGGAGAGGAGATGCCGGGACTTTACTTATTTACTTCTTTACTCTATTAAGGAAAAAAAAAGTATATAATAATTAAAATATTTTATACAAACCCGATAGATACAGAAGTGGTAGAATGTATAATTTCCTCTGCAATGATAATAAATAATGATTTATAAAGGATGTTTTATACTTTCCTGGCCTCGCTTCATACATCGGGGATATGTTCACTGGGGACAGATAATGAGAAACAAACAGAGGTCTCTTCGGTACAGTGAGGAGAACTCCCTTTGGGTCCCAGTTGTGTTCCTCTGTACAACATTCATTAAAGTCTATTACTGAGCAAAATAAAAAACAAATGTATATAGTACATCTTTTCAATACAGCACATCCACCATGTTTAGTCTTTTTAAATATATAATACGTTTATATATATATATACTGTATATA